CGAGGCTGTAAATCTTTACAGGAACAGAAAGCCTCATCTTTCTCCCACGGAGCGGCTGGTAGTTTCGAACTGCTGACCTTAAGGTTTGCAGCCCAATTCGTAACCACTACGCTACCAGAGCTCCTTATATATGATATGTTGCATTCTGTTGGTTAGGATTGTGTTGAAAATTTTGGCATCTATATTCATAAGGGATTGTTGCTGTTGTTAAGTACTATCAAGGTGGTTTCTACTCAAAGCAACCCTGTATAGGTTTTTTGAGGAGTGGCTGGTGAGTTTGAACCACTATCTTGTGTTTCAATCCACCTTTGTGATCCAGTGCTTAGCCTACAGTGCCACACCAGGACACCCCATGAGGAATATTGGTCTATAATTTCCTGTTATAGTGATGTCTTTGCCTGATTTGTGTACAAGAGTTATGCTGGCTTCACTAAATGTATTTGGGAGTTTTCCATCTTTTTCTGTGTTCTGGAATAGTTTGAGTATTGGTGTCAGCTCGTCTCTGAATATTTGGTAGAATTATCCAGTAAAGTCATCTGGGCCTGGGCTTTTTTTTTGTTGGGAGTTTTAATTACCTGATCAATTGTTTCTACTCTACTCTGTTAGTTTAGGAAGGTCATGTTTTTCTAAAAATGTATCCATGCTTTTTCTAGATTTTCAAATTTATTGGAGTATAATTTTTCTTCATATTCTGTTATTAACCTTTTTATTTCTATTGGTTCTGTTACCCAAACAACTGATGTTACCCAAACAACTCCCTTTAGTATTTTTTTTTTTTGTAAAATTGACCTGGATTTTACAAATCCTTTAATTTATAATTTTTAACATTCTGGAGGAGTCCTGGTGTGGCACTGTGGGTTAATGCACTGGACTACAAAGTTGGTTTGAACCATAAGGTCAGCAGTTCAAGCTCACCAACTGCTCCTAGGAAACCCTATACAGGGTCACTATGGGTCAGAAACAACTCAACGGCACTTGACAACAACAATATTTGGGAAATGTTGTGATTTTGCCATCATGTTTGAAATACAGTTTTGTTGGGTATATTTATGGTTAGCATTTTTTTTTCAGATTTCTTTATATGTCTCCCCATTTTCTTCTTGCTTTCACAGTTTCTGCTGAGAAATCAAATTTTAGTCTTATTGATTCTCCTTTGTATGTAAAATTTTGTTTTTCTAGAGCTGCTTTCAGGGTTCTTTCTTTTTATTTTACTTTAGAGAGTTTGATTATGATATGTGTTGGTGATTTTTTTTCTAGGGCTGTCTAGTTTGGGGTTTGTTCAGTTTCTTCAATGGTTATCTTCTTATCTTTTATGATGCTAGGGAAATTTTCTTCCAACAGCTCTTCGATGATCTTTTTTGTGCTTTTGTCTTTTCCTGTTCTGAAATTTTAATTACCAATAAGTTATTCCTCTTCATGTTGTATCACATGAATATTAGGCTTCCTTCAGATTTTTCATTCTTTTTTCTGATTGTTCATCTAACTTATTAGTATTTAGAGATTTATCTTCAAACTCACTAATTCTGACTTCCCATGATTCAAATCTATTTCTTTGACCTTTCAATATGTTGTCCATTTCTAAAATCTTAGTATTAATCTTCTGGATGTCTTTTTGCTGGTTTTGTATTGTTGTCAATTCTTCATCTGTTTTGTTTGTTGGCTCCTGCAGTAGTTTCTTGAATTCTTCCTTTTTTACCTATACCTTTTTTGCAGTCCTTTAAATACATCTAAGTATCATTCTCTTGAGTTATTTTCCAGGAGTTCCAGTGCCTTTTTTTTCCTCATAAATGTTTCTCGCTCTGCCTCTTGGTCACTTGTTTGAGTCACTCTGTCTTGTTTCTTCATGTGAACAGAAATTGTCTTTCGCTTTAAAGACATTGTGATGTTGTTGTATTTGTATTAAGCTTATGATTGTATGCTGCTGTCTTCTTAGGCAGTCACCAACTTCCTCCTCATGGGTGTGACCAGGAAATTAGCTTGTGAACCATACTCTGTTTGCTGTTCATGCAGTTCACTTTAGGATATATTTGGTTGGTGTTGGTTGTTGTCACTGATTCAATATATATCAGCTAGTATTGGCTCTTGTCTAGTGGGTGGGGCTATAGAGGATAGCACTGTGGCTAGTCTGCATGGCTGCTGTTGCTGTCTTCTGTCAGGTGAGGCAAGAAAAGAAAACACACACACAAGAGAGAAGGAAAACAAATACAAACTAGCAAACACAGCACAAAAAAAAAAAAAAAGGAAAGAAAGAAAAGAAAAAAGGAAAAATGCAGGCAACAACTAGCAAAAGACTACAAAAGCCAAAGAGAAAAGCAGGGGAGGAAAGTAAAATAATAAAAAGAGAGAAAATAAAAAGAAAGAAAAACACTTAAACACAATGAAGAAGAGAGTGAGTGAAAGGGAAAAAGAGACTAGAGAGTAGTAATTAAAAAAAAAAATTAAAGGGGATCAAAAAAAAAAAGGAAAAGAAAGAAGTGCAACAGTTGGGAAAGAGAAAAAGAAATAAAGAAACAAAAACAGTGAAGGGAAAAAAGGGGGACAGGTGCTAGACGTAGAGTGGACAGAATTTTGTGGTGTCCTGCCAGCCACAGCTCTCACATCATTGGTGGGTAAGGGACAAGACAATAACACTCAACCCTAGATGGAGTTCCTGTAGGGCTGTGTTATCTGTTTTGGGCACCCAATCCAGAAGTAATTTGTACAGACCCCAAAACAGCTGGGGTATAAGGGTATTGCTATCCCAGAAGAGAGCCAAAGTTGAGAGGTCCCTCTAGCACAGGGCTGACCAGAACCAGCTCTGCAGGTCTGGAATAGGCCACACCTGATTCCAGGTTCTGGGGTTAGTGTTACTAGTACCCCAAACAATTTCATGGGACTGAGCCTGGAAAGCAGAAGCCTGTATGCAGATGGGGATGGCTACACCACTAGATACCACAGTAATGTGGATTATGAGAAGAAAAGAAAAGAAATGTACTCCTTTCTGTCCATCAGTAAGTGATATGCCTCTGCACCACCCACTGCCCTCTTGGCTTCAAAGGCGATTGTAAAAGTTAAGGATGGGCGTACCATGGCTGGTCTGGTCACTGACATAGATCTGTAGTTTCTTTTCTGTGTTCTTTTTTTATTTTCTCTCTCCCCCACGCATCTGTTCACATGCTTTTCCTAGTGAGGGCTAACTTAGGGCTGGCCAGGGCCAACTCTGTATATGTAGAGCAGGGCTCATCTGAATGGGGTCTATGCAGACAGTGTCCTCCTCTTTTAATGGGGCCCACAACCATGATGCTCACCTCCCTGAAGTTCCAACCACCAGGAGAGCAGGAGAGCAGGAGCTTCCCTGGTGGTGTATGTGGATTGGGGTCTGCATTACCTCTGGTTACCAGGGGAGTATGAAGAACAAGAAATAGTGCACCTTTGTCTCTGCAAGGCTATAGGTAGGTTTCTGCAATGCTGATAAGTTTTCTTGTCTCTGAAGCTGCTCACAAAAGCTCATGAAGTCTGTGCCTGTCTGGTCACTGGGTTATATCACCAATCTCTCCTTACTTTGTCTAGTAAGCAACAACCACTTTTTAATCCCTTCATCTGAAGCTCAGGGTTCTAGGACTGTCATCTTCATCTGTTTCATTTGGTTTTCCATGTGGTTGTTGTAGAGGATCCATACAGCCTTTCTGCCTAGTCTGCCATCTTGTCACCTCAAGATGTCTTTTCTTAAAAATAACTTTAAATGTCTAAGAATTACATCAAAATTGATGGTGAAATATTGAACAGTTTTCTGATAGTGTTTTGCTTTTCAAAATTCATTAGTAGTCTTGGTGTGATACTGTAAGATAAGCACTGGGCTGCTAACTACAATGTCAGTGGTTAAAGCCCATGAGTGGTTCCTTGGAAACCCTGTACAAGGTCACTATGAGTTGGTATGAGTTAACACCAAGAACAAACACAAAAACCATGCTAATGTCAGGGACCAGAGCCTGGTCAGTGCTGCAGTTTAGTTCTCCCATTGTTGAGAGTGCTACACCTCTTTTGTCCTGCTCTTTCCTGATACTCTGAGTAATGTTCACTGACTGGAATGATGACAGGGCATTCTTCTTTCTCATCTATGGCTTCTTTGGTTTTATAACTGCATTTTTTTCTTTTTCTTTTACTGATAAGGACTTGATGCTCTGCTGGTGGTCTCCTTAGATGCAACTACTTATGATGAGTTTTCCAGCTTTGAATTTGGAAAAGGATTTGATTACAGGACTCACTTGACCATTGGAATGAGAGAACTTGGCAAAACACTATCAACATATCTGGTGAGTTTTTTAGTGAAAAAATTCAGTTATTCAAAATGCCACGGGAACAAAATTGGAAACTTTAAGCCTAGTTTCAAAGGTTACCTTTGCTCCTTGGAATGAAATGCAAGGTCTTTAGTATATGAAAACATTTGTAAAGCCCAGAGCAGCATATTTTTTATTGTGTATGTCCTTTTCTTCTTTGTCATCTTACTAAATAAATGAATAAAGGAACTTAAAAAACCAACCAACTGCTAATCAAGTAAAAAGAAAGAAAAAAAAAAAGAAATCCCTCAGTAATTAATGTTTCAAAAATCTCAGGAAACCAAAGCAGTCTTCCTCAAACTTGGCCTCTAGCCATTCACGTGGCGGGCACTCTCTCCATAAATACAGATTATTTCCTTTGGAGAAGGGATGTTATCAACACAATTGCTTGTCTGGGGCTCTCTTTGCTGCATTAATTCCCCTTATTCTCTGTAGCTTCTCTTCCCAGCGAAAAGGAGGAGGTTGTAGGTGCCAAATCATGATCTGTGGTTTTGAATATAGTTCTTATTCAAAACCTAACAATTGTTGCTAACAACTTTTCCTAACAACTGTTGCTCACTCAAGTTTGCTTTTTGTCCAGGGGAACATTGCAGAGAGGACATGCTGCTGTGCCTTTTGCAAGTGTTCAGGACCTCCAGGAACTCCTGGGACCCGAGGACCAAAGGCCTTGAAGGTGCTATACAGTTGTGATACTCTTTTACCTCATGTGTCTTGATTTGGTATGGATGGGCCTGAGACTGAGAGGTTGAATTTGCAGCCTCCACTCACTGCTTATAAAATTACTTTGATATAATTATATGTGACTTCTGTGGTAAAGGACACGATTCAGAATGATTCTTTGTTGATACAGCTTTTAAGACTACTAAAACTAACTCCCCTTTTCCTTGTAGATCCTCGTTGTTATTGCAGCTTAGTTTTGCAATTCATACCTTTGTGCGTACTTTAGTCAATTTGAAAGTGAGTGGGGAGGGTTGTTCTTAATCAGTAATAGGTCAAGATTGAACTACAAAAAGAACATGGTGGTGGTGTTGGTTATGTGCTGTGGAGTTGGTGCTAACTCATAGCGACCCTGTATAGGGTTTCATAGGCTGTAAATCTTTAAGGGAGCAGAAAGCCTTATCTTTGTCCCATTGAGCGACTGGTAGATTCAAACTGCTGACCTTGTGTTTAGCAGCCTGGTTTATAATCCACTATGTTACCAGGATTCCTTGCAAAAAAAGAACAGATTTATGTTGTTGTTAAGTGCCATCGAGTTGGTTCTAAATCATAGCATCCTTGTATAGGGTTTTTGAGGCTGAAAATCTTTGCAGGAACAGAAAGATTCATTTTTCTCCCAAGGAGTGGTTGGTGAGCTCAAACTGCCACCCTTGTGGTTTGCAGTCCAGTACTTATCCTGCGGAGCTAGTGCGCCTCTATGTGTTTGTGTGTGTTGTTTTAAGCGCCAGTGAGTTGGTTCCAATTCATAACAACCTTGTAAAGGGTTTCCAAGGAGTGGATGGTAGGTTTGAATTGCCCACCTTGTGGTTAGTAACCCAATGCTTATCCTACAGTGCCACATCAGAAACAGATTAGTGCTGCAGGATAATGTGCTGGACTTCAAGGTCAGTTTGAGCCGAAAGGTCGGCATTCAAACCCACCAGCTGCTTCTTGGAAACCCTGTACAGGACTGCTATGGGTTGGAATCTACTCAACAGCACTAAGCAACAACAAAAAATAGGAATTTAGAAAGATCCATTAAAGAGAAATAGAATGGATAAATACATTATGATATTTTCATTAGCTAGAATATTCTACAGCAATCAAAATGAATAAGCAGCAGTTACCTACAAAAACATGAATACATTTTATAAACACCTTAATGCTGGTAAAAAGCAAAATATGGAAAAATGCATATGCATGATTCTTTTGATAAAAATTTTAAACACCAGCAAAACTAACCAAGAATGTTTAGGAATGAATAATTAAGTTGTTGTTAGGTGCCATTAGTTGGTTCTGACTCATAGTAACCCTATGCATAACAGACTGAAATAGTGCCCAATACTGTGTCATCCTCACAATTGTTGTTATATTTGCAGTCATTGCTGCTGCCACTGTGTCAGTCCATTTCCTTGGGTTCTCTGCTTTCAGCCAAGAGCCATCTGATGTCAGTAATAATATCCCTAGCTCCACATCCTCTTCTAATAAGTAGTGAAGTGTTGTTGTTGTTTTTTAAATGCTAGGAAGTAGTATCACGGAAGTCAGGAGTGAGTTCCTTCTATGGGAGAGAGAGGACTGTAATTGGTGGCGGCACTATGACTGTTTACAAGAAGTCTTCAATTTTGTGACATGGGCAATGATTGTATGGGCATTCACTTTATAATAATTAAGCTGCACCTTTATATTTTATTTACCTTCCCAAATGGGTGTTGTTGTTAAGTTCTGTTGAGTCAGTTCCAACTCATAGTGACTGTGTATAAGGTTTTCAAGGAACTTGAACTGCCAACCTGGTGATTCAAATGGACCTTGTGGTCGGTCCAGTGCTTATCCTACTGCACCACACCAGGACTCACAAATGGGTTTTTGATGCCAAAAACAAAAAAAAAAGAGAGAGACAGAAAGAAATGTGATCTTTTGTTAAGCTATCACATTCAGTGCTTGCCTGTGAGACCTGCATTGTTCATCTTTGACTGTTCTTAATGCATCATAATGTTTACAGTTCTACTCTATAATACATGAGGTCATCAAAAGTCAGAATTGGCTTAATGGCAACTACCATCAAACATCAACAACAGCCTTGTTGGTAGGGGGCAGTAGTGGTATGGTGGTAAAATGTACACCTTTGATGGGGGAGACTTGGTTTCAATAACCAGTCATGGCGCCTTAGGTACAATCAGCACCCATCTGCCAGGCTGGATGCTGCAGTTTTCAATAGATCAAAGGTCCAGTGATCTGCTTCTGAACATTAGCCAATGAAAACCCTATGGATCATGGCATAGACCAAATCACAACTTATAATAAGAATGGGGCATAACCAAGTCATTGCATGACTCAGGGGCTAACCTGATGACAGCTGACACACTTTGCTGATTAAAGAAGTGCTTATTCTTCCTTGAGCTATTACTAAAAACAGAAGAAAAGGAAAGTATCCCTCTGGATATGTGACCAGTTTGATTGCTGAAAGGGTTGTGGTAATCACAGGTTCCTCAAGCATAGGATTGACCCTGGATGCAAGGAGGCCTCCAGATGTTAGTCTCTCATAGACATCAGAGGAGTCACCTTCTATAGATGGGTTTCAGAGATGAGTGCCAGGACAAAAAACAAAAAGAAGTTATCATGCTCCCAAAAGCACAGCCACACCGGCCAACGCTATAATCATGTTGGAGGAAAGCACTAGCCAAAAATGCCTAATTTCACAAGTTTGAATTAATGGGAGATGGCTAACATTTATTTTACTGTCTTTTCTCCCAGGGATCTCCAGGTCTCAAAGGCAGCCGAGGACACCAGGGAGAGAACGGCGACCCTGTACGTTTGGGGAACACACCCTCCTTGCTTATTTATTTTTTTCATGAAAAACATTATTTTTCAATAGAATGGCTTTATATGTTCATTTTTGTTGTTGCTTAGGGAAAGAAGTTGCTTTTCTTTTCTTTGACTGAATCATGAGGCACTTGCTATGCCTTTTTGGTAGAGAGGAAAAGTTTACATAAATGTTTCCTGGCATATTTTTCTCAGAGGCAGGGACTGACTATCCTTCTCTCTACCCCCAAGCAGTGCTCAGCAAGGACATCTGATAGGAGCTCTCTTTAGACCTGAAACCCAGGGACGAAGTATTTAATACCTGAGTACAGGCTGGAGTTGATGCAAAAACCCTTCCCTGGAAAGAGAAGTGGGCAACACATCCCTAAGGCATGGCTTCATTATAAATTCTACCCAGGGGTTTGACCCTGTGCATCTCACTGTTTGATCCTAATGCCAGAACTGTCACTTGGTTCATCCATCATATAAGGAGAATGGATTTGGAGAAACTGAAACTATGTAGGTGGCTCCATTTTCCATGGGCAAAGCCCAGGAGGCAACAAGCCAACTCTTCATCTGGGACTGCCATATTATCATCACCTGTGATCCAGTAGAATTGGTCATTTCATAGACAAGGTAACAGTGATTCATGGAGGTTGTTGCTGAACCAGATTTGGAATTCTGGATTTCTGATTCCAGATGGGAGGTTTATCCCATTACTGTCACTGCCTCCACTTACACACCTCAAATGGGTTCTCTAAGGGAGCAAATCCAGTAAAATGCATTTTATATATAATTTTATATATGTGTTACATATATATATATATATAATCAATAGAGAGACATTTATTTCAAGAAAATGTCTCACAGAGTTGTGGAGACTGACAAGACTTAAATCTATGGGCCAGTGTCAAGCTGGAAGTTGTTAATGATTCACAATCAGCAGGTCAGGCATCTGGCACAAGGGGTTGAGACCAGAGATCAGAGGATGATGCTATGGATGCAGGTCCAAGAGTAAGTGAAGTTTGCCAGAACATCCATATAGACTGGATACTGCCACACCCCAAGGAAATGCCCCTTCCATCAGATCGCAACACAAAGGATAATCACATAATACTGAGAATTAGTCCAGTTGACACATAACATTAACCATCACACTTGTTAAAGAAATAGCTTCAATCACAATTGTGAATGTAGAAGTAATCAGGAAGTTCTACAAGTTGTACAAATTCCATAAAATGTTATTCTTCATGGTTGGTAAAGGCTAACCTAAAATGTGAAAAATGAAACAAGATATTCAACTTCTTGACCATAAATTTTCTCATCTGTATAATAAATTGCCGTGGGACACTGGGGACATCCTGGCTTACAAAATGAGCACTGAGGTGACAGCCTTTTGTCCCCTGTCTTGAAGACCACTGAGTTAGCATGACAGTGTTACTTTTTGTGTGAGGAATAGGGATCCCACAGCTGCCTGTGGGTCCACTAAGTGGAAAGCTGGCAGTTTTAGGTACTTCTCAGCAAGGTATAATATCATAGATAAGGCCTCCTGCTTTTTCTAGGAATAATACTTGGAATCAAGAAAGTAAAACAGGGAAAGGAAAAATCACTTTCTCCCTCACCTGTCAGTGAGGAAATAAATAAACTTATTGCTAAAGAGTTAATTTTTCATGAGAGGGGTTTGATGGCGGATAGGGTAGAAGTGCAGTGAGGATCTCTGTCAGCAATAACACAGAATACTGGATGAAGCAGGTTCAGGGGACGGTCCCAGAACTCTGAACCACGTATAAAGGAATATTAAGACGTTTGAAGGCTTACAGGCAGTAGAATTAGTAGCGGAAGCAAGAAAACTGGTGTTTTCTCTGATAGGATGGCCTCAGCATTCCTGGAGTGGCCATCTTGGGTGAGCCAGTGCAAGAGGAGGCTGAGAGCCAACACGGATCCCACCCCTGGAAGGTTCTACCACACATACGCACAGATCTCCTCAAAATTTAAAGGAACAGTTTCTACTTAAAACTAAACAGCAGCACAAAATGGCCACAGCTGGTCCTGAACAGTTTATCATCAGGAAAAAGGCCTGAATGGAGGTTGTGGAGTAGGAGAGAAGCACACTAAAAAGGAAACAGGCTGAAAATTAAATCCTGAGTTATATCATGATGACCAACAACAGCATCTTGACATTTCTCAGGTGGCCTTGAAGGCAAGAAGCTGAGAGAAGGATATTAAAGTCATATTTGGCTACAGAATTTTGCTTTTTTCTTTTTTTTCTCTTCTTTCTTTTCTGTGATTATAGACTACAGTATCCAATCATCATGTTTGCTGTTGCTGTTTTGTTTTTTTGGTCCCCTCTTTACCTTTAGGGGGCTCTTTCTCACCCTACATTACCCAAGAAGAGACAGCAATTGTGGTCATATAGTCAAGCTACAATCACATCCTATAAAATACCACCATCCAGGCAAGAACCAATAGCAGCTGCCATATACCAGGTAGACAGCCAATACCTGCAACAGTTACTCTGGGTTGAGTAATAAGAAGAGTGAAAAGGGAAGCCCATCTCCTGATCACATCTACCTGGAGGCAATCAGAAAGCATAGTAAAATACCAAAACATACATTCATCTGCATATTAAGGTCACAGCTAACTGAATATGCCTAAGAAAAAAATGACTATATCTGGACATGTCCAGAAACAAGATAAAGTGACTGAGACAAATGAGCTGGAGGTAGACCTAGACTGTATATTAGAAGGAAGGCAGGTTTTGGAAATGCCTGAGAAGGAATTCAGAAAAATTATAACAAAACATATCAAAACACTTTACAGAGGAGTTGAGGAAAATAAGGAAGAAGTCAGGAAAACACTACAGGAAAAATCAAATAAGATAGCTACAGCATTGGAAACAATTCAAAACCTACACAAAGAGGTCCAAATGATTAATAATAGAATATCAGAAATGGACAATACACTGAAGAGACGTAAGCCAGAAATAGTGAGCTGGAATACAAATCTCTCAATACTATTAAGATAGAAGAGCAAGTAGAAAAAGGATTGAAAAAAATCTGAAGAAGGTCTAAGATTCATGTTGAACAACATGAAGAAGAATAACTTAAGAATTATTGGCATTCCAGAAAAGGAAGAATCATACAAGTCCATAGAGGAGATAGGTGAAGATATGCAGGAAGAAATTTTTCCTAACATCCTGAAAAGAGAAAAGATAAGTATTCAAGAAGTTCAACAATCTCCAGGAAGGACAGACCCCAAAAGAAAATCACCAAGACATATATATAATCAAGCTCTCCAAATTCAGAGATAAGGAGAGAATCCTGAAAGCAGCTAGGGAAAAGTGTTACATATAAAGGCAAGCAAATTAGATTAAGCTCGGATCTCTCAGCAGAAACCATGCAGGCAAGAAGACAATGAGAAGACATATATAAAACCCTGAAAGAAAAAGAAAAAGCTGCCAACCAAGAATCCTCTACTCAGCAAAGCTGTCAATCAAATATGATGGTACAATCAAAATATTCCAGGATTTAAAAACAAAAACAAAAAAGAGTTAGTTATTCACTAGCAAACCATGTACCGACCATGCACCAGCCCTGTACCAGGTCCAAGGGATGGAATGGTGCAAGATCCAGCTGGGTTCCTTGTGCTCAAGAAGGACACAATCATTTTCCTCTTGAGGTCCATTGTACTCTAATGTTTACCTCTACCTAAATAGTTCCTTGGGAAAGCATACACCATTGATCTCAAGTGCTTTTCCCCAATCACATGGATTGTCTGACTGGGGATCTTTCACCATGTGACCTTTACCAGAAGGACTGACTCTTCTCACCTTGCTCACCTCTTCCTGCTCAACTTCAGTCTCCTGGCACCAACTCGGTTCTCTACTGTCAGCAATGCTGACTCTTCCTATGCAGCATCAGGGCTCTAGGCCAGCTGTCAGGCCCAACATGTGTTACTGGAGGATGTGGAACGTTGGCTATAAAGTGAAGTGACTTCGGAACCTTGAGCTGAGCTCATCCTGTGTCTATTTGTGACCCTGGATCTATAAGGAAGCCCTGAGAGTTGACAGGAAGAAATGTGTGAACATAAGGAGAAACAGATGAAAATGAATGAGTTTGTGTTAAGATTTGCTTTGTTGACAGCTCAGAATGGCTATATGCTCAGCTTAGTGGTTAGTTATGTGCCATGGAGTTGTTTCCAATTCATAGTGACACCATATAGGGTTTCTGAGGCTGTAAATCTTTACGGGACCAAAGAGTCTCATGTTTCTCCCATGGATCAGCTGGTAGTTTCAAACTGCTGACCTGAGGTTAGCAGCCCAATTTGTAACCACTACACTATCAGAGTGCCTTATGTGCTCAACTTAACTCTCTTAAAATAAATAATTGGAAGCTACTGACTAATGAGTCATTTTGGGCCCCTTTTCTTAGGGAACACGTGGAGATCCTGGACCCCTAGGAGAGAAAGGGCTTATAGGATGTCCAGGAGAGTTAGGCCAAAAGGTAAGTCTTTACTGGAAATGTTATTTTAAATTCACTATAATACCTTTTCTCTATTTTTTCTATTCTTCCCCTCCCACCTTTTCTCACTCCCACCTCTTCTTCCTCTCTCCCTTTCTCCAAGTAGATCTGTTAGTTTCCACAACTGAAAAGTAATTATGCTTCTAAGTCATCTCAGGAGTTTTGAGTGTTAAATTTCATGTATAACCTCTTTGTTAGCTACATAGGCTGAAACAACTAACTGAATAAACAATAATAAACATTTCTGAGAGGCAAGTCCTTTTGGCTCCAACAACCTATGAATCTGCATTCTGCATTCTGTCTTTGATAGGATCAGTGAGTGATGTTTCTTTTTTTTTTTCCAGGGAGTCAAAGGATATTCTGGATATAAGGTACTGTAATTTCTTCTCAAAGTTGATTTTCTAATGGCATCAGTTTCTCAGTAAGCATGTGGCTGAAGTCTCCTTTCAGCTGACTTCCACCTGTTGCTATCTCTTAGGGGGAAAATGGAGAGGATGCAATTGATGGGGTCGATGGAGAAGAGGTAAGCCATTTTTCTTTGAGTATCATAATATCATCATGAGCTTAATCTAATTTTTTTAATGCACATCTTGTTTTCTCTGTCTTCTTTTAGGGCTTTCGTGGATTCTCCGGAAAGAAGGGAGAAAAGGGTGATCCAGGATCCCAGGTAACACTTTTCAATATGCAAAAGAAAGAAAATTTGGTGGCAGAAACAATATCAGTGGCTAGTGGAGTCCTGCCTGGTTGGTGCTACAGGATAATGTACTGGATCACAAAGTCAGTCTGAACCTCAAGGTTGGAGGTTCAAACTCACCCGCCACTCCTCAGAAACCCTACACAGGGTTGCTATGAGTCGAAACCAACTCAATGGCACTTAACAACAACGACAGCATTGGAGATTTAAAAAAAAAAAAAAAAATGGCAGGTGATTTACTCAATTATGGATTTGTGCCACTGAGGAGATACTGCATTCTAACTTGAGGCAAGTCGGTAACTCTGTACTTTTCAAGAATTTCTAATAAGAAAAATTCAGAGCATGTAATGTTTCTTCTATAAGCATGCTTTTCAGAAATCTGAAAACAAATGCCTTTGCATGTCAGTGATTTCTATGTTCCGTACAGCAGAAAAAAAAACTCAAGAGAAAAAAACCAAATTATTTTGTGGGTTTTGGTATAGCAAATCCAGAGTGAACCATTTAAAAAAAAAAAAAAATTTTTCAACTTACTAGTGTCAGCCTGCTTGGTTTTAAGTCACTCTATGTTTATGTTTGATCTATGTATCAAACAAATTTTTAATACTTATTATGTATCAGATATTGTATTATCAGCAATGGACCACACAGTTCTTGTCCTCAACAAGCTATGGTCTAGCTGAAGAAACAGATCAACAGTTAATTACACACAGAATTTAATGATGCCATGTCATAAGCATCTACATAGAAACCAGAAAAGGACATCCAACTAAACCTGCGGGCTTAGGAAGTCTTCTTGAATGGGGTGATTCCTTAGCTGAAGATAAATAGGAGTTAACAAGAAGAAGAGGTGGAGGAAGGGCATTGCAGGCAGAGAGAACAGCATAAGCAAACACAGAGAGGTTTGGTCATGTTGCAAGCTGTTCTGCCTGACAGGGACATTGGAGTACATGCAGTGGAAGTGAAACTCAAGAGGAGGTGGGAAGAGACCAGAAAGACACTGAAGGAATTTGCCCTTTAACCATTAGGCAACTGGAAGCCATTGAAGGAGTTTTAGCTGTGGAATGACAATCAAGTTTACATTTTAGGAAGATCACTTGGCAGTAGTATGTACGATGTGTTGGAGGTGACATAGTTGCAGGCAAGGAAGAAGGCCAGTTGTCAGTAATCAAAGTGAGAGAGGATAAAGTCTTTAAATAAAGAAAGGCAGTGAGAACAGACCACCAAAATATTAAGAACATAGCAGGACTGGGCTGGGGAGAGGCAAGCAAGGAAACTAGGGTACAAATTGTAAGGAGGGACTCACTTTCAGTATTAGGCAGAAAGTGAGTGATTCCTTAAACTTTACACTCTAGGCACCTCACCAGCCTCACCCCAGTCGAGGTCTTGGGACATGAGATCTTCAGAGTCTGGTGACCAGAGAAGCAGGAAATAAAAATCAGTCACAATGACTGCAAGGCTTGGGCAAGTTTAGTTGGGGACCAACTAGGTTTGAGGTGACAATGGACCATCCTGTGGAAATTTCCTGTAGGGAGTATATAGTTGTCACAGTTGCTAGACTGTTTGGGCTGTTTTAGAAACTTGTGATAACTTTAAATTTAAATTTAAGTGACCACTAGCCACATAACGGAGTCCTGGTGTGGTGCTATAGGATAAGCACTGGACTACAAAGTCCGTTTGAAATGCATGGTTGGCCATTCAAACTCACAAGCTGCTCCTTGGGAACCCTATACAGGGTGGCTATGAGTTGGAGCCAATTCATAGGCACTTAACAACAACTACATGTAGCTACTTAAATTTAAATTTAATTAAAATTTAAAAGCTCATCAATTACACTAGCCACATTTCAAGTGTTCCATGTCACATATAAGGAGCTCTGGTAGCTAGTGGTTATGAGTTGAGCTGCTAATCACAGGGTTAGCAATTACTACCAGCTGTTATGTGGGAGAAAGATTTATGGCCTCAGAAACCCTGCACAGGGTTGCTATGAGTCGGAACCACCACCAATGTCACATATGGCTAGTGGCTACCATATTGCACAGTACACAACATTCCAACCCTGCAGAAAGTTCTATGGGACAGTGAGTGCTGTGCTGGACCATGAGATGTTTTCTAATTTCTCAGCCTCATTGGAGAGAGTCTTGGTCATCGACTTAAAACCAGGCTTAGTGCTGATTGAGAAGTCTGAAGAGATATGGTTGAGATGGAAGACAATAGCATGGCATATTCTAAATGATTAATTTCTCTCTCTCTCTCTCTCTCTCTCTCTCTCTCTCTCTCTCTCTCTCTCTCTCTCTCACACACACTTAACATTTTAATGCTATTATGAAAACCTTATACAAGCTAACTCAGAAGAACTAATTTTATTTTTTCCAGGGTAGCCCAGGTTCCAGAGGCTTCCCTGGGGAGCATGGAGAGAAGGGTTACCCAGGAAATCCTGTAAGTTGGCTCTAGATTTTCTAGTTATTCCACAGTTCCTATCTTCATTCTTTTCTTGTATCCTGCTAACTTTTAGGTAAATGTTTGTCTTGGAAGTGAAGATGGTAGATGTTGGCTAAAGGAATAGCTATTTGGAAGGAAAAATGGTTTGCATCTCTTAAAAGCTTGTTATAATAAGCTTTCAGATATTATTAAAATTCTTTATGGTATATTAAGCCTTTCAAACTCCTTTTGGGGAAAATTCTCATAGTTTTGGATACCAGGCTTCTGATATTGCAGACCTGCAGTTTACATATTTGCTGACTTGATTACAGGAGAATTTGATTACACATTTGAAAGAATGACATAGAATGTTTGGACTAGCTTATGTTTTACAAGATTTCCATTTATCAGCAAACCCTTCAAACTTAAGGAAATAGTGCTATCATCCTGTAAGTTTCAAAGATGGAGAATTTTCTCACATTTCTCATACCTTAATTCAAATTATCTCAGTACTCAAACATAATACCATTTTGTGGACAAAGTTTGTCTGACTTAATTCTGAAATACTAAATCTTCCTCTAGGGTAACCCAGGACAGAACAGTAACATCAAAGGACAAAAAGGTTCCAAAGGAGGACAAGGAAGACAAGTAACTGGATTTATTTTATATATCTGAGTTGATTAATTATGTTATTCAGCCGATGTAACTGATTTAGTGAAATAAGCCTACATTAAAATAAAGCATATCTCTAGTAGATTGCACTTCTATGGATAATATTATCATGTTTCTGGAAGTTATTGTATTGTATGAGAAAATTTATGGTAGCAGTAAAACTTCTGTTATACCTTTTCCTCTTTCAAGAATGTAATGGATGGTGTTAAAGTGCAGAAACATTTGAACTGTTCTGTCGTTTTAACAGTACTTGAGGATTTGATGCAGGTGCCTTTATAATTGCTTCATAATCTGTTGCCTTATGATCTTAAGGAAACTATTGCATTTCTAGGGTAGACCTGGACAGAAAGGGACGAAAGGCAGTCCCAGTCCCGGAGGAAGCAGGGTGAGTATTTCCACAGACACTTATTCACCCTCCCTATCTATCACCCAAATGTGCCACAGAGGCATTCACAGTATTTGTGACTTAAGAGTCAGATGACCCAGGAATCTGATACATTTGCAGGGTTTGTTGAGGGTGTTTGTCCTAGTCATTTTAGGATGTCCAAGATGCATTCTTGGACTCTATGCAATCAATGTAGCACTATTTAGCACCAGTAGCACCCATTTCCCCCAACCAAAATTAGGACAACCAAAAATGTCTCCACACATTACCATTTGTCTTTTACGGCAGAGAACTATTAAGATATAGCCTACTATTACCTTTCCTAAGGAGCTCTGGTAGTATAGTGGATAGGAGTCGGGCTGCTAACCTCAAGGTCAGCAGTTTGAAACTACCAGCTGTTTTGCAGGAGAAAGATGAGGCTTTATGTTCCCGTAAAGATTTACAGCCTGGATAGCCCTACACAGGGTCACTATGAGTCGGAACCGACTCCACCGGCACACTATCACCACCTACCGTTACCTTACCACATTCTAAAATGTCTTTAAAAAACATCAATTACTTTAATATAAAAGCCCTTCCTCAGTATCTTAGCATCTTTGAGCTTACGTTGTTGTTGTTGTTGTTGTTGTTGTTATGTGCCACGGAGTCAGTTCTGACTCATAGTGACCCTGTACTGGGTTTTCCGAGGCTGTAAATCTTTATGGGGGCAGAAAGCCTCATCTTTCTCCCATGGAACAGCTGGTAGTTTCAAACTGCTGATCTTAAGGTTTGCAGCCCGATTCGTAACCACTACGCTACCAGAGCTCCTTTGATTTTACATTAGACTCTATAAACTGGGTAAATATGTTCATGTTTCCTATCTCTATTCACATGTTGCCAATGAGAAAGAAGAATTAGAGAAAAAGGCCAAAACATTGGAGAATAAGATCAAACAAGTAGCAAGCTAGAGGTTGTGGGGTACTTCATAACATCCCCTGTGATATCAAGAGCCCTGGTTGCACAGTGGTTAAGTGCTTGGCTACTAACCAAAAGGTAGCTGGTTTAAACCCACCAACCACTCCACTTAATGGGGAAAAGATGTGGTGGTCTTCCTCCATAAAAACTGCATCTTCAGGAACCCTATGGGGTCCTAAAGAGTTGCTATGAGTCAGAAGCAACTTGACAGCAATACGTTTTTTCTTTTTTACCAAAAAAAGTTGTTTTTTGTTGTTGCTGTTTTGTTTTTAACAGAATAAAACAGGGCCATTGGATTTTCCCATCTTTTAAAGGAAAACCCCAAAACTCACCTTTCTCTTTGTGTACTACTAAAGTTAGAGTTGATGTCTAAATGTGTTACAAGCTTCCCTAACACACATTTAGCATGTAGCTGTTGTTGGTAAGTGCTGTTCAGTCAGTTCCAATCTATAGGACCCCATGTATAACAGAACGAAATACTGCCGGGTCCTACACCATCTGCACAATCACTAATTACTATGTTAATTTTGAGTCCACTGTTGTAGCCACTAGGTCAATTCATCTCACTGAGGGTCTTCCTCTTCCTCTTTTTTGCTGACCCTCTTCTTTAACAAGCATGATGTTCTTCTCCAGGGACTGATCTCTCCTGATACACACCCAAAGTACACGAGATAAAGTCTCACCATCCTCACTTGTAAGGAACATTCTGGCTGTACTGCTTCCAAGACACATTTGTTCAGTCTGCATGAATATCATAAAAAGAGAAGAATAATGTTCAAGATCTTAGAGTTAACCCTGAGTTTTGTTCATGAGGGAACTGAAAATTCTGTGCTTTCTTGTCGGTTACAATTTTGGGATTTTCTCATCACTTTGAAGGTGGTGACTAATAATCCTTCTCCCTGAGTAGGGAGTGAAGAAATGTCATTTAATCCCTCTTGCTTGTGTTTATCTTGAATCATAGCTCTTCAGGGAAAGAATCTGAAATCAGGGGTTTGACTTCCCAGTGCTTCTGGTAAAATTCCTTGGGACTTTGACCTCTTCTCCACACAAGAGAATAAAAAATGTAATCAGAGGAAGCAGTAGAGCAGTACATACTGTAGAATTTCAAGATAAATATTTATGAATTTTTGTTGGGTTAAGGAAATATACTTTTAGTTCAAAATAGCTTTGTAACTCTGATATAAATCAAGCACTTTTTAAAAAGAGAGGCCAGGTGGCAGGTGATTTAATATTCGTACTTGGACAACTGGCTCACAGCCTCCTGTCTGTTGGTATCCACTTCCCTACTTGTCTCTTTTCTAATCTATTGTCATCTGAATTTTTAAAAAGGCATAGTGAATATAAAGGAACATCAAGCTTTTCTACCTTTCCCTACCTTTCCAATGAAGGAGAAAATTCTCTGCGTGTCAGACAATCTTTAATTAGTAGTCATAGAGTCAACTCTAGCTCACTGTGACCCATGTGGATCAGAATAGAACTGTACTCTGTAGGATTTTCAGTGACTGATTTTTTAAAAAAGATTTCCAGGACCTTTTTCCAAGACATCTCTAGGTGTAATAGAACTGCCAATTTCTTGGCTAGTAGCCAAGTACACTAACTGTTTTTACTATCCAGACCTTTTTCTTTTGCCTAGGATACACAGGAAATATTATACTTCTACAGCACTTACTGAAGCCCTGATGTGGCGCTATGGGTTAATGTGCCAGATAACAAAGCCATTTGAATTGCAAGATTGGTGGTTCAAGCTCACCAGCCTCTCCTTGGAAACCCTATGCAGGGTCTCTATAGGTCGGAACCGACTCAATGGCACCTAACAACAACAACAACAACAACAACAGCACTTACTATAAGAAGCTCTATATGCAGTCACTATGGGTCAGAACCAACTCAGTGGCACTTAGCAACAACAAGCAGCTTGTGTGATGGTTATAAGTGGGGCTGCTAACCTCAAGGTCAGCAGTTTGAAACTACCCACGGTTCCATGGGAGAAAGATGAGGTTTTCTGCTCCTGTAAAGATTTACAGCCTCAGAAATCCCACACAGGGTCCTTATGAGTCGGAACCGACTCCACGGCATACCATCACCAGGGACTTTTCAGTCAACTTCATGGAAAGATAGCCCTGGTGACACTGTAGGATAAGCATTGAACCACAAAGTTGGTAGTTCAAACCCAGCAGCTGCTTTGTAGGAGAAAGATGAGACTTTCTGCTCCCATAAGAATATATAGCCTTGGAAACCTTATTTACGGTTACTGTGAGGCAGAGTCGGCTCCATAACAGTGGGTAGTTTATTCTGAGGAACTTCAGAAAGTGAGTTATTGAAAGAAAACAGGATTTCCTCAATAATAATCTCTGTGGTAACTTTCTAAATGAGTGACCGAATGCAATTTTGGAAAGTATTACTTTCATATCTAAAATGATTCTAGTTGTCTATCACAACGCAAAGTGAATCCATGCATGAGTTGAGACATTCCATGATTCTTTCAAAGGAGGGGCCTTGCTAGGGAGTTGGGGAGGAGACTAGATTTTATCATTGCTTTTTAGGAAAAAAAGAAATTAAGATCTGGCCCTGAGTGTCTTCCTGCTTGGCTACCCTCTGGAAAGGAGAGGCACAGACTGCCACTAGATGGAGAGCCTGAGCTGACAATGCAAAATGTGCTTCTGGATAGGTGCAGACAGATGTTAATTTCAAGGGTCAGCCTTGCTTTTCCCAAATGAATCTGAGCAGACCCCAACATTTCCTCCTTGTTGAATCCTTTGAGAAAAGCCCCAGTGGGCCCATATGAAGCGCGGTCTCTAATAATACTTGACTAGCCCCCTAGATGGAAATCAGGGATCTAGGACAGAGAGAGATGGATGTATAACACTCCTTCACGAAAGGGAAGCCTCTGATTAGCAGGTTTTTTGGTGGTCTACACCAAGGAGGGAAAGGTATAAAACAGGTTCTTCAGGGTGATTTGATTCTCCAAACAGCCTCCAGGAAGATTGTCAGAGGCTGGGTCAGTAATGACTTTTAGATTAGTTAGCAATCAGTCCTCCAAATGTTAGGCTGTAATTAAGCGGAAAGCGCCTCAGGGAAGCCATCTCTGTGAGCTGCTCATTCGTTATGCATGTCAATCAGAGGTGTAGGGAAGAAAAGACTATGCTGGTTTGCCTTTAAAAAAAGCCTTCATCGGGACACCCCACACTGACACATCATCTTTTCTGTTCTAGGGAAGAGAAGGCCAAAGAGGACCCCCAGGTGTCCCGGTAAGATTCCTGACTTCCTGTCCTCTGGAGTAGGTGGGAAGAAGGTAATGAATGAGTATTTGTAAGGATGTTGTAGGAAGCATGGGGCACTGGGCATGAGCCCCATGAACAGGAGGAAACACAAATCCCCACCCATTGCACCACCAAAGAACAAGGCAGGCCTTCTTCACAGATACATCCTGTAAACAGAACCTGTTCCTATTCTGCATTTAACTGCTTTTCATATCCATTTGGAATTTCTGGCAAAAGAATTCAATTCTTCATTAGAATAATAAACAAGCATAAAATAAACAAGCAAGTAAGCATATGTGTTCCTTCCTTATACAGTAAGAAAGAATAAAACCCTAAGCAAAGTAAGAATGACTAAGAGTCATGAGTTACACACAACTGGACCTTAATAAAAATAAAATAAAGGGGCAGGGCCTCACAGAAGAATTCTAATCATCAGCTACCCTAAAACTACTTACCTTGGAGTAAATTTTCACTTATGAGGACTCCATTTGTGTCACCTGAATTGAACTATATGTGCACCATCTTAGTTTCCTGGTTTTGCTTTAGAAGAAATACCACAAATAGGTGGCTCTAGAGAACAAAAATTTATTTTCACACAATTCAGGAGACCAGAAAGCTAAAAGTCTAAATTCATGGCACCTGAGAGAAGGCTTTGAGGGAAGGTCTTTGACTCAGCTTCTGAAGCCACAATATTCCTTGGTTCCTTATCAGTCTTCATGTGCCATTTACTCCACCCACGCCCCCAGCACAACATTTATACTCTGTAGTCTTTGGGTCTATGTGATTTGCTTTAAAACACATCCTGCAATGACCTCACCTCATTAATCAAACAAAGAAACCCTGTTTCCAGGTGGAATTCTTTCCACAGGTGTAAGGGATAGAACTCCATTGCATATTTTGGGGATCCTGTTCAATCCATCACAGGTACTATGTAGGGAAAATCTACATGAAAACTATATAGAAAAATCTTAACACTGAAAGCTCTCATTTATCAGGGGCAACCAGGAAATTTGGGACCTAAAGGTACACCTGGAGATGAAGGATTACAAGGACCACAGGTGCGTTGGAATATTTGATACTCTTGGTAAATAATGCTGAATCATCCTGATAGGAAGAAAGCAGGTCTTTCTGTATGAAGAAAATAACTGAAAATGTTTTAGCTGCCTTTTTCTGCAGTATGCATCTCTGAAATTCTGCATTTCCCTCTGTGTGTGGGTAAATTTGCTCAATCAAACCTTTACAAGTCATTGATTACCTTTTTTGTTAAGGAAAGGTATACTTTCTTCTGTGTTCTTCTGATGTTATATTTGCGTAGTACCATATTTTTATGCAAGTAACACGAGTTGTGTGGTTTTTGGCAAACCACACCCCCCTCACATATCTGTTTTCTATGTCTTATGCACATTATAGGAGTCCTGGTGTGGCGCTGTAGGATAAGCACTAGACTGCTAACCACAAAGTTAGTGGTTCAAACCCACCAGCTGTTCCATAGAAACCTTATACAGGTTGCTATGAATTAGAACTGACTTGCCAGCACTTATCAACAACAAATGCATATTATAGACATGTGCCTGTTGTTTGTGTAGGTACATTTTATGTGGAAAATACAGTAGTAATAATGAAATATTATACCTTGATATTTTATTAATTAATATTATATTAATTAATTCAGGATCAACAAATTGGTTTTCCTTAACTGAGGTCCTGAACACAGATTCCCTTGAAGGAAAATTAGTTTGGAGTTGGAGATTTATTTAACTCACCTAAAACTTACTCTCTATATAAGTAGTCTTGGTGGTATTGTAGGATAAGCACTGGACAGCTAACCACAAGATCAGCCGTTCAAACCCAAATGCATTAGTAATTTGCACCAGTGTTTCGTTCTGCTGTCCATAGGGTCACTATGAGTCGGTACTGACTCAATGGCACCTAACAACAACAATAAGGGACTTCTCAGCCAACTTAATGGCGATGATAACCCTGGTGACGCTGTAGGATAAGCACTGAACCACAAAGTGGACAGTTCCAAACCACCAGTCGCTCTGTGGGAGAAAGATGAAGCTTTCTGTTCCCATAAAGATTTACAGTCTCAGAAACCCTATGCAGGGTGACTATGAATCAAAATCGACTTTATGGCTGTGAGTAAACTTCCTCCCCAGGAGTTAACAGTACTCCTGGAACATTAGTTTATATGAACCATTCACATTTGGTCATGGTCATATCATTCATTGTATGGACGTCAGAAGTCAGGGCCTTTCTGTCTTTTCTTCTCTCTTCCTTGCCAAAAAGGTTCTGGGTCCATGCCTAGAGAATGGCTTTGTAACACCTGGGTATTCAGTGACCAGACCTTACAGCAGCCATTTTAAGCCTGGTTTTGTCTGGAAGGACCTGTGTCTATATGCCCATTCTGAGGCCTTCCCAGAAGTCCATTTTTCTTGTTGTTGTTAAGTACCTTGGAGTCAGTTCCAACTCAGAGCGAACATGCATAGGATTTCTGAAGCTACAAATCTTTGCAGGAGCAGAAAGCCTCATCTTTCTCCTATGGAGAAACTGGTAGGCTCTAACTTCCAACCTTGTGGTGAGCAGTCTGACACTTATCCTACAGACTCACTGTGCACCCATTTCCAGCATTTTTCTTCTATAAAGTACCAAATTATTAGTATTAAACATGGCTATAGGATGAGGACCAGACTGCTAATGGAAAGGCTGGCAGTTCAAACCCACCAGCTGATCCTCAGGAACCCTATCTATATGGGGTTGCTATGAGTTGGAACCAACTAGATAGCACTTATAATAACAACTGCAAACTGGGATTTTGGATTTTCCTGAGTGGTTCTGGGCATCCCTAAATCAAACCAATAATTAGCAGCTCCTCTATACTGAGTAGCCATGGGACCAGCCTGAATCCATTCTCAGGCATTCAGGTGGGGGTAACAGGTGACTCAGAAACCCTTTGAACCTAACAGCCATGAATTCGACAAAATAAAACCCTGGTACTATTTAGTCAATTCGCCAAAGCTAGTCCAGTGGTTCCAGGTGCCATTTGTACTTGACAACCAGAACCCATTTCATACCTGGTGTTTTGGTGGTGAGAAACCTTACTGAGACATCTAGTTTTTCCTTCTATACACAGAACCATCTGAGAACCTGAATTTGAAGGTAAATATGTCAGAAAAATATGTTCTGATTCCTCACATAGGGTCTGTTGCTGAATGTTCTTTGCCTGAACTTGAAACAGTATTACTCTTTTACATATTGATGAGCCCCATCAAGAATTCCATATTATTCTTGCTTATATCTTACTTCTTTTCTGTAGGGGTGTTTCAAAAGCACTAAGCAAGAAAGTAGATTTGTCATTGATACCTGACATGACATTATGTTTCTTTTGTTACCATCAAAGGGGCTAAATGGAATTTATGGCAAGAAAGGAGAAAAGGGGAGCCATGGGCATAAAGGACCCCAGGTGAGTGAGTCCAAGACCTTCAGGTAATGGCCCCAGACATTGTTTTCTTCTTTCTTCAAAAACATCTCCATATATGGTTTGTTTTATATTATCCACACATAGATTACTTCATTTTGGATTCACTGGAGGCAAATTTTTAGCCTATACCAGACTCCTGGCGTGTAGCTTAAGCGCCCTTCTTTCTCCTATGCTTTGGTTTTATTCATACTCACAGACACATTCCATCAGCCTAGTAAAAACCATTTTGAGAAATAAAAATATTGCTGAATAATGAATATTTCCTCCCAAACCTGATATTTTATTCTAGTTTTTATAACTTAAAAAAATTATTTGTACCACTCATATCAGAATGGACCTTGGTACTGGCCATTTTGAATAAAATATTTTTATGGTTACTATGCCAGAAATGACAATGGAGTCTCATTCATGGTCAAAAAGAACATTTCAAGATCTATCTTGAAGTACAGTGCTGTCTGTGACAGAATAATAGCCATACACCTACAAAGAAGACCAGCTAATACAACTGTTATTCAAATTTATGCACCAACCACGAAAGAAAGCCAGTGGTGATGAAAAAATAGAATTCTACCAACTTTTTCAGTCTGAAATGGACCAAACATTTAATCAAGATGCATTGCTAATTACTGGTGATTGGAATGCAAAGGTTGGAAACAAAGAAGAAGGGTCAATAGTTGTAAAATATGGCCTTGGTGATGGAAATGATGCTGGAAATCACATGCTAGAATTTTGCAAGGTCAATGACATATTTATTGAAAAGACTTTTTGAAAGGTGATAATACACATGGACCTTCTCAGAGGGAATACACAGGAATTAAATTGACTACATCTGTGGGAAGAGACAGTGGAAAACCTTAATATCATCAGCCAAAACAAGGCCAGGGGCAGACCCTGGGACATAGTCTGCTCATATGCAGGCTGAAGCTGAAGAAAATTAAAACTAAACCATGAGAATCCAAATATAACCTTGAATACATCCCACCTAAATTTACAGGTCATCTCAAGAACAGATCTGATGCATTAGACACTAATAACCAAAGACTAGAAGAGTTGTGTGGTGACATTAAGAATAGCACAAAAGAAGAAATCAAAAGGTTATTAAAAAGACAGGAGAGAAAAAAAAAAACAAAAACTAAAAAGGATGTCAGAAGAGACTCTGAAACTTGATTTTGAGTACAGATAAGTTAAAGTGAATGGAAGAAATGAGTAAGTAAAATAGCTGAACAGAAAATTTCAAAAGGCAGCTTGAGAAACAAGTCAAGTATTAGAATAAAATGTGAAAAGACCTGGAGTTAGAAAACCAAAAGAGAAGAGTATGTTTAGCATTTCTCAAATTGAAAGAACTGAAGGAAAAATTCAAGTTTCAGCATGCAATACTGAAGGATTCTATGGACAAAATATTAAGTGAGGCAGAAAGCATCAAAAGAAAATGGAAGGGTCAGCAGGAAAACTCCAAAACAAAAATGGCAGTATGATTGACTACTACAAGAACAAGCAAGTAGTTCACCAGGGAGCCATCAAGGCAAGCAATGATGTTCCTTGAAGGACAATCCTCCTCCAAGACTGAAACTCAAAGGGAACACATGAGCAGGCATGTATGCTTACTGATGACCATGTTGGTCTACTGGTGAGTGGAAGAGGGGGAAAAGCACAAATGGGCTGAGTTCAACCATGTTCCATAGACTCTTGTTGACCTGGAGATGAGAGAGACAAGAGGAAGGGCTGGTTGGTCTAAAATGTGGTGAGACCTGGGGACTCCTAAGTCCATGGACAAGGACATAGCCACGGAGGGCTAGAGCTGAGAGTGAAGCATCCAGCTGATATGAAGTGAGGGGAGATGCACAAGAACGCCCAAACGTGCAGATAGTACCCATTTAATCTAAACTCGATGACTTGATACTCAGAATTCAACTAAAGGAAGATTTAAAAAAAAAAAAAAAATTTTTTTTGGATAAAGGAAATGAGTGTAAATTGCTACAATTTGTTGAACTTGACCTATAATTATGGATATAGTAGCTCAAAATACCTACTGAGAGGGAAGGAGGCTTCACATCATGTATCAATCATATCCCCTCTGTATACAGGGTAGATAGGGACAGGCAACTTAGGCATTGGCTACCTAAAATGACGGAGCGATAAAGGCACGAAGTGACTGGCTTACAAATTTTATGGAGTTTAGTTTAAGAGTGTGTGGAGGAAGATAGAGTCCCCACTGTATAGGTTTCACCTTGTGTAGATGGGTCTGGTGAAAAGAGATGGGGGATAAGATTCTTATGATTCAATAGTGAGAAATTGCTATCATGACTAATTATGACTGTCAGAATTGTAAAAGTAGAAGTTTTGTAACAAAAACGAGGGAATAGTTAATCTTACAATACAAAAACAGAGGACCCTAGGACCATCAAGAGAGAAGAGCACAAGCAGAGTGCGGGACCCTTTCCAGAGAAGCAGCTATACCAGAGATGGAGGCAGAGATGAGGACATGGAGAGAAAGAGCAGCTGAGGACTCTGGACTCACAAAAAGAGAGGGATTGGGTGGTGGCGGCCAGGAGGCAGGCTTACAGAATGTGCCCTTTGGTTGTTTAAATTGTTATATATTCCTGAGTGTTTCTGTGCACATGCCTTCTTCCAAGAAACAAAACAAAAAACCAAACGAGATGGAAGCAAATACGGTTGAATGATGATGCATGCAGGAGATTGTAATCATTGCAATGAAACAATGGCGTAAAGTCGATGTTCTACTATGTAAACTATCAGTTCACAATAAAAACTTAAAAAATAAAGAAGATGGAAGGAATACACAGTCACTGTACTAAAAAGAAATGGATGATGTTCAACCATTTCAAGAGATTTTCATATGATCAAAAATTTCATATGATCAAATGGTACTGATGGAAGAAGTCCAAACTGCGCTGAAGGCATTGGCAAAAAGCAAGGCTCCAGGAATTGATGGAACAGCAAATTGAAATCTTTTAACAAACTGATGCAACACTGGAAGTGCTTGCTTATCTATGCCAAGAAATTTGGAAGACAGCTGCCTGGCCAACCAATTGGAAGAGATCCATATTTGTACCCATTCCAAAGAGAAGTGTCCCAACAGAATATGGATATCATCTAACAATATTATTACATGAAAGCAAAATTTTGCTGACAATAATTTTAAAAGTTGCAACAGTCCAAAAAAAATGTTTATTTGTGCTTTATTGACTATGCAACTGTGTAGATCATGACAAACTATGAATAACATTGGGAAGACTAGGTACTGCAGAACACCTAATTGTGCTCATGAGGAACCTGTGCCAAGAGGCAGCTATTAGATACTGAATGATTTAAAATCAGGAAAAGTGTGTATCAGGGTTGTGTCTTTTCACTATACTTGTTCAATCTGAGAATTTGGGCAATATGAAGAAGAACATGGCATCAGGACTAGAGGAAGACACATTAGTAACCTGTGATATGCAGGCACAACCTTGCTTGCTGGAAGTGAAAAGGACTTAAAATACTGATGAAGATCAAAGACTACAGCCTTCAGTATGGATTGCACCTCAATGTAAGAAAACAAAATTCCTTACAACTAGATCAATAAATAACCTCATGATAGAGAAAATACTGAAGTTGTCAAACACTTCATTTTGCTTGGATTCACAATCAACACTACTGGAAGCAGCAGTCAAGAACTCATATGACACATTGCATTAGGCAAATCTGCTGTGCAAGACTTCTTTAGCGTGTTCAAGAACAAAGATGTCAGTTTGAAGACTAAGATGTGCTTGACCCAAGCCTGGGTATTTTCATTTGCCTCATATGCTGTTTAAAGTTAGACAGTGAATAAGGCAGACCATAGAAGAATCAATGAATTTGAATTGTGATGTTGGAGAATAATATTGAAAGTACCATGGATTGTCAGAAGAACAAACTCATCTGCGTAGAAAGAAGTACAACCATAATGCTCCTTCTAAGCAAGATGGCAAGACTTTGTCTCCCTTACTTTGGACATATGATCAGGAGAGACCAATCCCTGTAGAAACACATCATGCTAAGTGAAGTGGAAGGCTAGTGAAGAAGAGGACGATTCCCTTCGCCCACCCCCCAAAAAAGTGGAATGACACATGGCAGCAGCAATGACTTCAAGCGTAACAACCATTGTGAGGATGGCACAAGATCCAGCAGTGTTTTGTTCTGTTGTACTATGATCACTATGAGTCAGAACCCACTCAATGATACCTAACAACAACAAGCCATGTATACATTGATTACAGATATTTGGAAGAGATTCTGCAAAGATCCTTTGCTATTCAAATCTAATTTATTCCTAATTTCACAACTCAAATTTGCCATCTAAATCTATTTGGTTCCAGAATTTTTGATAGTGAGTAATAAAAGCTTGGATGCTGAGGGATTTTTACGAAAATTGTTCTACATTTATCCAGTTCTTCAGCTTGGATATCTAGAGTTCTTAAGGCATGGGATGCCTGCATTTGTTCCATTATCCTCTTAGCAAAAGATACTTTTGCCCATTTTTACATCAGGAAATTGAAACATAATCTACATCCCAGCTCACTGTACACACGACCCAGTGGCCAGAGACAGCAGGTGTCTTATTCTTACAAAATTCAGTGCATTACAGCAAATTTCCCACATTTAGAAATGAAGTGAGCTTGGTTAGGGGCACCTTTCTGTGTTTCACTAAGGCACCATATAGAATAGCAATTAACTGCAGATGAAGATTTGTGGTCCTCAAACTGGTACTAAACTGTGGTTTCAAATGTTGCTCTCCCTTGGGTGGCTGGTTTCTTTTGTTCAAGAGGCACCAAGGAGTTGTTGGATCTGTCATGAAAATGGCAACCTTTTTAATGGGTTTACTAAGAATGGCTGCAGCACCAACATTTGTGCCGCCTATTTCTTTTCAGGGTTCTTTGGGACAAGCAGGACCTAAAGGGAACATTGGAAGACCTGGACTTTTGGGCAAAAAAGTAAGAGTGATTTCTGATTATTGTCCTGATTTACTCTTTAAACCTTAAACCAATTATTATTTCCTAAAATCTCCTTAAAACTAAACAATAGTTTAGCTTAACTAGTTAAAATGGCCTGCCTTGAGCTTTATGCTGTTTTAGGAACTACTTATATAAGATCAAATTAACAGCAGTAACTGGGAAGATTAGACAGGAAATTTAGCGGGCAATGAGTTATGTTAATGAAGGAGGAGTAGAATGGCTGCCCAACTTGAAGAATGGAATCAATGTCACAAAATGGTGCAGGTAGAAACCGTTGAATTGATATATGTTTTGCTGTGTATATTCTCAACAACAAGAAATAAATAAAAATTTAAATAAGTGAATAAAAAGCTGAGAACAAAGTTTCTCTGTTCTCCTGATTTTCATGTTAGCTCCTCACACGATTGAATCTAGGCACTATCAATAACAGGCGGGCACCTTTCTGCTTGTATTGTCTCTTCCTTCATCGAGCACAGAACTGTTCGCTTCCTCCATGAAACTGCCCCCACTTCACGAGATGCAATCTCACATATCATGACACAACTCTGAAAATCCTTTCAACTCCCTGATTTTTTGAATCTATGAATATACTTAGCTGCAGAGGGTGCAGACCATACGTCTTCTTTTTTGTACATGTAATTCTCTAACTCCACCTGCCACCTCTGAGGTGCCTCTGATGAAAGCAGTTAGAGAGCAAACCATTGGCTTAATCAGGTTCTCACTTCCCCCCTTCAAGCCTTTCTACGGCTCACCCAACCACTCAAGTGCCAGCTTCCTGGGTCTGTGGTACAGGACTCTATTAGAAGGTTCCTACTCACTGACACCGAGTTAACTCTGAGTCCTACACAAGGTCCTACCTATAGTGATCCTATATGGGGTTTTCTGTGTTGTAAATCTTTATGGGAGTAAAAAGGCTCATCTTTCTCCTGAGGAATGGCTGGTATGTTTGAACTGCCAACCTTCCAGGTAGTAGTCCAGTGTGCTTTGTTTAATGCTCTGTTGTCATCTTAAAATTTTTAAATATTTTTTTTTAACAAGATAGCCCACATTATTTTAAATTCACCCCAAAGTTCATCTAGCCTGTCTTGTGTGTACCCTATTGCACACAAGAAAACCCCCAAACTTTCAAGTAGTTAATAAGACCCTTCAAAACTTGACCCTGTTGATGAGCAGCTTCATCACTCCTCTCTCCTGCCTTGAACCCTACATACTGAACTTCTCTCAGTCCTAGAGTATGTCTGCACTGGCTTCTCACCAGTGCCTTTTCCCCCTCAATCTACCTGACTCATATTCACCCTTCCCTTGCCTTTCCCTAGCTCACATAACTCATCTTTCAAACCTTAGCTTCTCTAGTCCTTGCCTTCACGCAATCTCTGGCCCACCAAATTGAAATTAGGTTCATCATCTCTTTCTCCCTATAGCACTCCAAATATCACCATGCACTATTACAATTGTGTATCTAGTTGTCTCCTCCCAAGCAGACTACACTCACCTGGGGAGGGCAAGACCATGTCAATCATGTTTAACGCTGTTCTTGATTTTCCTTTTTTTTCTTTCCTTTTTACTGTGAATTGGGTGAAAGCTTACAGAATAAATCCATTTTCTACCCAACAATCCATACACATTTTGTTTCATCTCACTATCCTTCATCCAAGTTCACCTGTGTCTACCCTCTAACCAGTAACTTGCTCTCCCTTTGGTAATCAGCAAAGGCTGTTTCTTTTAGTGTAAAACCCTTTCACAAAAGGACACATATTGAATGAGACCTCTCTTGTAAAAAGTCAAGAAAAGGTTTTCACACAAATGCTGTTCATTTTCTCAGGACAATCTATAATTTTAAATGGGTAGATAAATCAGCAAATTAATCCAGTTCCTCTGGAATACATTTCCCACTCTTTGCCTCCCTCTTCATTCCTTGTACAAGAGAGTGGTTGGTACTTGTTCTATACTAAAGATGTTGCTTGCTTGACTTTAAGAACATCATTATTTCTCTTCTGCACCCCTCTTCCTTAATTTGCACCAACCCTCCCCACTGACCACCTTGTGTCTCCTTATCCAGTAGACAGAACTTCCTATGGTGAGAAACAAGCCTTCAATTTACTGATCTAAAGTTCTTCTTGTCTCACTTACTAGGGAGAACCTGGAGTTCTTGGAGAACCAGGACCAACAGGGCAACGAGGACAGAGAGGCCGACAGGTATGAAGTTTGGGGACCCTAAGTGGTTACAAATCAGGCTGCTAACCTCAAGGTCGGCAGCTTGAAACTACCAGCTGTTCTGCGGAAGAAAGATGAGACTTTCTGCTCCCACAAAGATTTTCAGCTTCGGAAACCCTGTGCAGAGTCACTATGAGTTGGAACCAACTCCACAGTACTTAACAACAACAACCCTTTTTCAGCTCCAATGCTCACTTCTGGGGTAAAAAGAAGAGAATTGATACTATCAGCCTAAACATCTAGAACATTGAAGGTATTTTAGCATCTAGCTGGATGTGGGGACATTTTTCTCATTTCCAGCATTCATTCTAAGCAGTCACAATGAGAGAGAATGGTGCAGGGGAGGAGAGATGGATGCAGAGAGGAGAGTGGAGGAATTAAGAGAGGGCATTTCGATATTTTAACATCAGCCTGGCTTTATAAAGCCTTGTCAGTTGATACACATCATCACCCATTTTTCTCTGCTTCTTGCAAAACTCCATGGTGGCAACCAAAACTGCATTGTAGCTCTGTGGGGTAAGCACTGAACTGCAAACCACGAAGTTGGTAGTTGGAGCCCACCAGCCACTCCACAGGAGAAGATGAAGCTTTCTGCTCCTGCAAAGATTTATAGCTTCAGAAACCCTATACAGGGTTGTTATGAGTCAGGAACTCACTTGACAGCACTTAACAACAAAGGCCAAGAAACAAGCCATTCATTTTTCAGGCCTGAATTCTGTTCTAGAGACCCTGTCTGTACCAAGACTTTATCCAACAGAGCAGCTCATTTAAGGATAAACTTATTTCCTTTTTTTAAATAATATTTTTATTACAACGTTATACATAAACATTACTGAAAATCACTGAGTCAGAAGTGACTAAGCACAAAAAGAGGTGAAAGGGAGAAGAAAAATGCACCCATAATTCCACCAGTTTGAGATCTTCATCACTAACATTATGAAGATATCAGCAGTGAAATCATTGCAGTACACTGTTCTTCCCCTCAGCAATATTTCACAAACACATTTCCTTGTCATTAACCTTTTTTTTTTTTTTCCCTCGATGTTAATTTAACTGGATTCCTGGTGCTGTAGGATCAGCACTATACTGTGAACCACAAGGTCAGCAGTTCAAACCCACCAGTTGTTCCTTGGAAACCCTATACAGGGTGGCTATGAGTGAGAACCAACATGGAGGCACTTAACAACTACAACTAATTTAAATAGCTTCAAAATATTCTACTGAATAGATGTACCTTAGTGTATTTGACTTGTCCTTCACTATCAGACATTTTATTTGTTTCCAGTTTTTCACTGGAATGTTCTTGTACCTAACTAAATTGTGGGCAAACTCATAATTAAATCCTACATAGAAATATTTAAAGGAGTGTAGCTGAGTCAAAGAATATATACATGCTTAACTAAGGCTTTAAATCCCTATTGTAATGTACACTTAGGAAAACAGTACCAAAAACAAGACATTCACATGATGCAAAAGAATGCTTACTCAGGGCATCCATACTCAAAATGGGTATTGGCACTATATTTATTTTCATTGTTTCTAATTTTATTGACCAAAAAAAAAAGGTATGTCCTTATAATTTCAAATTGCATTTCTTTGTTTCCTAGTGAGGATGAACATTTTTCCATATGTCACTGTTGTTAAGTGCCTTTGAGTCAGTTCCCACTCATAGTGACTCAATATAGGATTTCTGAGGAGTGTCTGGTGGGTTTGAACTGCCAACCTTATGGCTAACAGTCCAGTGCTTATCCTACAGCTCCACATCAGGACTCATAAGTCCTTTATAATTTAGTCATTAGTCATTTATAATAATTTTGGGGGTCTTGGGACAAGCTCTTAATTTCCCACTGATTCCATTAGCCTTGAAGGACATCTCTCTGCATCCAACAATGTTGCAGAGTGCACCTGGAAAGGAAGTACAGGAGGTCCTCTCAGAAAATAAGGAAAACTCAGCAAAAGCCTGCAGTATCCTTGTTCCCAGGGTACAAGTCCATTGATTAAGCCCCTCCACCTTAAAGGTCAAAGTGTTTTTCTCCTGAAACTGTAGTTGCTCCAGTATAGAAGATAATTGATTCTTGATTTGAGGAAACTGAAATTAACTGGTGTGTTCACAGGGAGATTATGGCATCCCGGGCAGTGGTCAGATGGGACGAAAAGGAGTAAAGGTAAGTATGAGAAAAAATTATTTTAACTGAGAAATCAACCCTAAATAATACAAGGAGGTATTAATGAACATACTGTGGAAGTGATGTGCTGATTTATTTATCTTTTCTGCTGCAAATTACAGGGCTCACGAGGATTTCCTGGAGATATGGGGCAGAAGGTACTGTGCTTGTGACCGTCTTTTGAAATGACTGTTATCTTAACCTTCTATTTGAGGACTGAAATAATCCTTTAGGTCAGATTGAAATTTTAAAAAAAAGAAGCATAGAAAGTATTTTTCCTCAGTTTCATGAGGAAAGGACTATCATGAACACTATGAATCGTTGACTCATAAAAGATTGTCTTCCCCTACATTGTCTGGTGCTCAGTGCCTTGAAAACCATTGTTTGATATATCTTGCTCATTGTTTGATTTATCAGGTGGGAGGGTAGATCCAGATTGTTATTTCAGCTTAGCAGAAGAGAAAGTACAGTTCAAAATATTAAAAGAAAGAAGAAACTGACAGAATATTCTCAATCTGAAGCAATGAGCGATGAGATACAAGGGCATAACATTTTAAAAATAGGTCATACCTACACGTGGGACCAAATTTCTTGAGATTTCTGATGTGTAATTTTTTTTCTTGTGGTTTGTGTTTTTCTTTGGTGGCTTACTGCTGGAATTATGTCAGTTTTGTCCTAGATGAGACCCTTGTAGCCACTTGTCAGGGCAATAGAAGTAGCCTCCAACTGTTCTGCATTGTGATCTCAGGATCAAGGTCAAACCTTCTATGAGACCCAGCAGTGGCCACATTGTGCTCATTACTCACTGTCTACCTTCACGTTCCTTGGGCCTTGAACTTTGTACTCTAATAAAATTTAAACATATTTCTGTTTAATACCTCTGGGGCCTTGGTTCATGCAATTTTCTTTACCCAGATCATTCCCTTCTTTTTCCCACCTTCTCTCACTAACTTTTACTCATCCTTCAGGTCTCAGCTCAGCCTGCATCTCTCCTTGGAAGCTTACTTGGCATCCTCAGGTTAGACAATATTCTCCTCTGCTCTCCGACGTCATTTACCACCAAGTATTAAATTGATCCCCCCACTATACTATAAATGTCTCAGAAGTATATCCTTAGTGTCCATCCTTACTGACCTAATTTTGGTCACAGTGCCCAGGCTGACAGGTGACAGCTAAGCAGAATCTACTTGCTGATACAGTTGGGAGACTACATGGTTCGGTCAGATTTGGTTGATTAAATAAGTGAAAAGGGAACACCCTAAGGTGGTTATTGCTGCTCTTAAGTGCTGTCAAGTCGGCTGTGACTCATAGAGACCCTGAATAGGGTTTTTGAGGAGTGGCTTGTGGGTTTGAACCAACCTTGCAGTTAGTAGCCCAGTGCCTACCCTACAGTGCTACACTAGGACTCCTAAGGTTGAGAGTCCTTATAAAGGTTCATCCCTACATTTGAGGCTTAAAAGAGTCTTTTAATCATTATTATTTTTAAATAATGAATGTGTGAATGAGATGGAGAAATGATGGTGGAACATATATTAATTCAGTTATCCATCATCCAACAAACATTATTACATGCACACTATGAGCAAGGCACTGAAGAACCATCGAGTAATAAGATACAATTTATGCTCTCCAAAATAAATCGTCTAGCAGAGATGCCTTCTGTCTAAATGGACGATGATAATCATGGTTCTACTCCAAGAAAAGGTCTACATTTTTGAAGATCACTGACCATGAAGCCATCAGTTCTTGAAGGAGTCACAATTTTATTAATAGCTTAGTATGTGATAAGCAAAACTGGACTCCTTTCTATCTTTTACTGCACTTTCTATTTCTAATTCAACGTCAGACTGAATCAATTAGGGGCACAAATACCTCAGAGTTTAAATATATATGTATGTATGTATGCATGTATGTATTTAGGAGCCCTGGTGGGGCTGTAGGATAAGCACTGGACTGCAAACCACAAGGTCTGTGGTTCAAGTCCACTAGCTGCTCTACAGGAGAAACATGAAGCTTTCTGCTCCTATAAAGATTTATAGCCGCAGAAGCCCTACAGAGGGTCACTCAGGTTTACTTGCTCCGTGGGCTGGGAAGTTCACTGCACTGTCTGGTGCTCTGGTTCTTGGTTCTGCTGCTGTTGCTCCTCTGTCCCTCCTCCAGTTCATTCCTTCCTGTCCCTGGGTCTAGGAAGTTCAGTGTTCAGGGATCTTGGAATTTAAAGGACATGCTCTAATCCTGATGCTTCTTTAATGGTAGCAAAATCCCCCTTTCCTCCTTCTAAGATGGTTCATTTTATACCCAACACTTTACAATTTTAATAAACTCTGCTCACATCCACAGCTGAATCATGTCATCCGATCAGTATCTTCTCTCGCCTTCTCTTACCCAGACTCTCAGGGCAGAAACATTGTTTGGTGGGAGTTACAAACTATGGCTAGAAGAGACATTAGATAATTAGCTATACTACAACTATATTTGAGATATTTTTGACAAACTTGTTCACTGAACTTTCTTGTGTACTTACTGGAAGGATATAATTGTGTTGTTGGAAAAGATGGAAGCCATTTAACACAGATGCTGTATTCTCTATCTTCCTCTCAAAACTTTGTATATTCTTTTATTCTCTCCCATGTATGATGAAGAAGTACTTCTCCGAGAACTTCCCAGAACTATTCACCCGTTGTTGCTGAGTGCTGTCAAATTAGTGACGACTCATAGCAACCCTGTATAGGGTTTCTGAGGAGCGACTGGTAGGTTTGAACCACCAACCTTGAGGTTCAAACCAACTCTTCAGTCCAATGCTTATCTTACAGTGCCATACCAGGACTCCTACTAACCTAGATAGCATTACATTTAAAACTTCTTTCTTAGGGCAGCCTTTATGCCTTCCATGGCCCACCACATCACTCTAAATATCTCCTGATTATTATTGTAGTTAAGTGCTGTCAAATTAGTTCCGACTCGTAGTGACTCTGTATAAGGTTTCTGAGACATTAATTATTTTCGGGAGGAGAAATTCTCATCTTTCTCTCTCAGAGCAGCTGGTGAGTTTGAACTTGAGATTTGTTAGCAGTCCAATCTAGTCCAGGTCACCAGAATTCTTAACTCCTCATTAGGGGAATGGTATACTGTTCTCCTGATAAAGATGAGGTGCTTCTACTGTTTCAGGAAAAGACAAGACCCCATCTTCAAACATATACATATTATGTTGTTGTTGTCAGGTGCCATCGAGTCGGAATCGACTCATAGCACAGCAGAACGAAACAATGTCTGATCCTGGGCCAACCTCACTATCGCTGCCACACTTAAGTCCATCAATGATGCCACCTGGCCAATCCATTTCGTTAGAGGTCTTCCTCTTTTTCTCTGACCCTCCACCTT